GGCCTTCATTTGATTGACCATTCTTGCAGGAAGTGAGAAGAACTGGGATGTACCAGTCGGTGTGTTTTTTGGGAGTCCTCTGCATAACCCATTGTTCAAGGCCACTATGTCAATTCAAAGATTTGAAGATATTCACCGTTTCTTGCACTTTGAGGACAAGAGGACCAGAGCCTACCTACTGAAAAAAAACCACAGGGCAGCTTTCTGCTACATATGGGGCCTGATCCTGGTCAACTGCAGGCAGAAATTCATCCCTAGTGATTGTGTTACAGTGGATGAACATCTTTTGACTTTCAGAGGGAAGACCCAGCTTCTGCAGTATATGCCGAGCAAGCATACAAAAGAGATACAAGGATACAAAAATTGCAATTTCTTAAAATTAAAAAATAAATAAATAAAAATGCAAAGGGCCTCATGTCACAAACATGTTTTATGAGGAATACCTCAAATATGAAAATATTACAACTCTTCGTTTTAAAGATTTTGAAGAATAACAACCGAGTTTATAGCAAAATGCATTGTTTCTATTTGGGGTCATTTTTGACCCCACTTGTGGAAGAGTGTAGGTACTGGTAGGTTGTGCATCCAAGGGTTAAGTGAAAGTGGACTTTCCAAATGTTTAGAAAAACAACTATAGCCTAGTTACATTCGTGTTTTTAAATTGTTTGATCACACACAAAGGCTACTTCCTTCCACTGTGTTTGAACCAATAGAAAGCTGGTGCTCAGAGGAAGAGGGCGGGCTTTACTTGGTGTCAGTGACAGAAATGAAAAAAAGCTCAAATGAGTGAGAAGGACGATGAAGGAAACATCTGTGCTGTGTCTGCTCTGTAAGTAGAATCTCTGTGTTTGTTTGAATTCTTGTACTTTGACTGTCTGCTCTCCTGATAACTGATGATGGACTATACTTAAAGTATAGTCAGTGGTGCACATAATCATAATGATCACTTTAAGTGCTGCTTTTATAAACAGCTCAAACTGTGGTAAAAGACCATGATGAGGCACAACTGCATGGATACTTTCATGTCGTGAAAATTTTTAATAAAAAGAAAATCCAAAGATAAAAAGAACAAGTGGTAGAAACTTGATGGATGAAAAGGTTCATAAGGACTCCAGGTTTCCCCCAACATTACAAATACATGCTAGGTTAAGTCATTATTAATATTTATTTATTTATGTTTTTATCGTTTGTTTGATTAAGTGTGAGAGATACAGATATTGACGGGGTCAGGTTATGTTAAAAAGTATAAATTGTTATACATTGTTCATTGGTTCAAAGGTACCCCACACTTTTTTTTTTTGCTTGTCTGTTCTGGTATATTTTTCATTTGCACTGTTATTCTGCCAGAATACTCATATTTACAAGACGGCATTGAATGCCCCATTGGTGTGTCAGAAAAAACTCTTTTGTACGTAATGTTCCACCGCAGCCAAGGGCTAGGAGTTGAAGAGGAGCTGCTGTTTGTTTTTGTCAATGACCTGATTTTGGAAATAAAGCATATGAAGTGAGAAAGCAACTCCTGTAGTCATCCCTGCCTTAAAGCTGCAACAAAAGAATTGCACATTTTATCAGTTCTTTGTTGCCCAAAATGTATTGAAAGTCATGACTGGCACCAAAGTAAAAATAAGCAGATATAGAAGACACAAGTTTTTGGTTTGTGTGGAGTTGTTCTTCATGTTCAGTTAAATCAACCTGAGTGTCATTTCTCTTCAGTTCTGATCTCACTGCTGAGCTGCACAACAAACCAAGGTCAGTAAAGAACATGCTGGATCACTGTCACAGGTGACACACTCACCTGTCTGTGTTTCTGCAGCTTTCAACATTCACAATGTGACGACAACTTAATGACTGTTTGCTTTATTTTAGACAAACACACCACCACACCTCCACCTACATCCACACCTCCACCTACACCCAACTCTGCTCCATCACTCTCTCCTCCTGTTGTCTTTGTGTTGTCATTTTTTACATCATCTACTCTTACGGTTCTGCTGGTGTTACTGGTGTTACTGGTGAGAAGATACATTGGTAGGAAACTTGAAGGTGAGACTCACACTGTCAGTTTTACATGTGGTTTTATTTTCCTGAATAATCTACTCATTTATTATGAATAGATGTTTTTTATTTACATTCTCTGCACATGCAAATAATAATTGTTACAATACAATAAAATATAGAAATAAGTTTACAGCAAGTTTTTTTCATAAATAAAATACCATATTGAATTTTTACACTAATTGCGCTGACATTTTGATCATTTCAGCAGATCATGACAAAGCTGAGGAAGATGACATTAAAGATGACATCACATACAGCGACATCAGAATATTACAGCGTCAACAACAGTCAGTCGACCAAAGCAGAGGTAATATTGCTTCTTTTTCTAATTTGTCTTTCGGGGTCTGGGTTTTGTGGTTGTGAGATTTGAACGTCAGGAGAAGCTTTATTTTATAAAATGTGAACACTTCAGGAAAGTGTTGGTTTCTAGAACCAGAAGGGACTACATTTAGGAAAGTGCTACATAGCTTGACTTTTGCGCTAAATACATAGACTGTGTGAGGGCATCACACAGGCACAGATAGATGCTAATTAGAGCTAATTAATATTAAAAATATATCCTAGAATTTCACTCACCAAAACTGGTGCTCAGACTTTTTGTATGGTTTGTTAATACAGTGAAGGAAAACTTTAAATGCAGCAACATTTTTAGAACGTATTTCCTCATGACTGTGAAGACATGTTCGCTGACCTTAACCTCTCCAATGTGCTGATTTTAGTTTAATGTTTAATTTTCCTGACTCTGAGTATGGTTGATTTTATAATAGACAAGAACATTATGGAGCATGCAAAAGAGGGCTCAAAATGAACAAAAGTATTTTGTTGTAACAGGAAAATTAAAAAGAATATGTTTTAATTGCTTCATTATTCAAATTAAATTAATCTCTGTATCTATTTTCAACTGTTTTAAAGTTTTGTAAAGCTTAGTGTTTGGTAGTTTGTGTAACATCCTGTCATGCTGACCAGATACATACATACATAGATCCTGATGATGAGCTGTTGTATTTTCAGTGTTTTCATGTCATCAGTGTTTTTAAATATTATATTTACATCCAAATTGTTTATTGTGTAAAAAATTCTGAAACAGCACCCCCCTCCCCAAAAAAAACAAAACAAACAAACAAAACTATACAATAAGTTCTGCAGCTGCACTGCATGCACTGATGTCCTGTCTTTGTTTTACTGCGCAGAGAGTGATTCAGCTCCAATTGATTCAGAAGTGAGAACTGAAGGCGTCACTTATGGAGAAATCATTGTCAAAGAGCAGCAAAAAACCCTCCCCTGCTGTGATGCCGAGACAAATCCCACGAGTGAAACTGATCACATCCCAGAATCAGCAATTCAAAACAACAACATTGCAGACGTGGAAGCAGAGCAACTGCAGATGGAAGTTTCAGGCTGTCTCAGTGATGAAGAACTCCCAGCATCCCCCAGCAACATCAGCATGGAGGAGAGGAAGTCACTCACATCACTTAGTAATGACAACAGCATGATCATCCTTCCAGCAGACAAAGGTAGGCGCATGCTTTTTCTAATCCAGAAAATGTTGTCACTGCTCAGGGACAAAAATGCATGCGAGCGCCTGAAAAATTACCCAGGATGTGGTTACAGGAAGAAGGTGATAGATTGTCTGAGGCAGTTAGAAAGGGACAGATTTAGCAAACATACAGTGGGGCAAAAAAGTATTTAGTCAGCCACCGATTGTGCAAGTTCCCCCACTTAAAATGATGACAGAGGTCAGTAATTTG